GCATAGTATAAATTTAGTTTTACATTCATTATTAATTTTTCTTGTTGAAATCTTTTAAATATAAGTACTTATTTGTTATTTAATACTAAACTTGAGTTAAAGATTTATAATATTTTTTTTTTAACAAAAAAATTGATTGTGGGAGACATGTGTCCAACACCACCCTAATTAAAGTGTTCGTACTATAGACCTCTACAGATAGTCTTAATAAAAATAAGCAATGTAACATCATAAGGATACGTCCAGAAGAGCACAAACGACTGCAAGGAACAAAAATAAACACAATTAGTTGCATTGTGACAAAAAGAGAACAAAAATTCATTAAATTTGAAAATACATACATTACCATGAATGTGTATATAGATGTTTATTATTTTAACAGTCCATGTTAAGACAACATGAACAACGGCCAGCATCAAGTATTCTAGTACTATCAATAGAATATTACTACAAACTTCCTCATCGAACAATTAAGAAAAATTTCAGTAAAATTTGCTTCTGCTGATTATATTACAATTTCCCAGCTTGCTCGGCGCACAAAAAATATTTTCAAATCTCAAAGATTTGACGCACCTTTATGACAAGACACAGTTAAAGGAAATTAAGATTCTCCAATTCAATATCGCGGAAAATAACAGTTTAATTTATTGCAGTTGTACATTATGCACAATAAAATATGGAGATTCTTCTGGTTCTTGCATTGTTCTTTAAAAGCTGTTTCAGATCTTAAAACACCATACCATAGTTAAAAGCAAAATAATTATTAGTGCAAAAGCTCATACCATTTTCGTTATTGTGTTGAATTTAGTAAAAGTTTCCTCATTTTTTTATTGAGATGCCTATGCTAAGTATTCCTTCCCCTCTAAGATTTTTATGATGCTTTCACAGGGATCATAAAACAAATATTACAATCTACTAATATAAATCAAGGTATTATCTATTCGAGAGGGAGACCTAGTTTTATTTACATCATTGTTCAACCTTCCTCGTAGCCCAACAAATTCAGCCATGTTTTGCTAATGTTTGTAATTTGTTTATAAATGGTCAACCAACGTCCTATCTATGCATTTCGTGGGACTCACAAATACTACCCACTTATCCACTGCTCATTTCTATCTATTTATAAATGAAACCTATTATAAACAATATCCAAAAATAACTTCAATCTACACTTTTCGATGCTCAATAACGATAACATATTTTATAAAATTCATTATCTACATATGTCAAGAACCAAACATTATACCACAGAAATAAGCGCGTATTTTAGTATGGGAAGATATAAAAGGAGCTAAGAAGAAATGGAAAAAAGAATACCAGAAGCCCGCCAAGAAAGCCATCGAATATAATCTTGTTCCAACCATCAAAGTAAGAATGAACAGAAAAACTGGCCTTGGAAGCAAGTCCTACTGAAGTGATTGCCATAACAAGGAAATAGAATAAAAATCCCGTCAAGCCAGTAAATCCCAGAATTCCAGCAATTACTCCTCCAACAATAGACATAAATGTGCGGCTGAACAAATGAAAAGACATGGGTTTAGCAGCATGAATACAAAATTTTGCAGTTGCTAAAAAAGTGTGAAAATTGAAAACAGTAATGACCAGATCACAAAAACTTGTAGACAGCATAAAATTTAAGGCTGCTAATATTAGCAGTGTCAGATGGCACGATCTAAAATTATTGAGTGAAAGATGGCCTTTTTTTTCTTTTCCCTTTTAATAAGTCCATCCTCGCCTAATTGAAATTGGTGATACCCGAAACATTAAATTGTTAACCTTTTAGTCTTTTAACTTCAATTAAATAGCTTATCATTCGAAGTTCAGATATGAGCTAAAGTAATAAACAAAAACAACAACGTATAAGCAAAACCCATATCATCAAAATTATCGCACTTAGGCTCATGGATCATATTTGTCTAGACATTGAGCAACTATTACTTATCATTCCTTTTTCTCTCCTTTTTTCCACGCTCATATATATCTAATCTATTCTTTTCCTGGATAAAAAAAGGATATAATTGATAAAGGTTGCACCATAAAGATCAATTCGACAGATTTTGCACCAACACATAATAACTGTGTAATTCTAGTTGGCATTAACTGACAGAACCACCTCATCGAAGCACTCTTCCCAACTAAAATCCAATCCCACATCAAACCAAACAGAGACCCCATCAAATTACAGCACAAAATTTATTTAATAGAACTGGGATTTCATAGAAGCAGAACAACATCCGAGTAGAATAGAAAACAAACCTGTAATATATAATTTTTGCATTGTTTTGCATATTTTCAACATTGAATGTCAGTAACTCATCTGTGATGTCACCAGCTGTCTTTCCAGGTGCACCCAAATTGGCCATAGCTTTCTCTCCTTCAGACTTTCGAACAAGCTTCTGATGATGTGAAGATAAAAAAAATTAATTTAAAGATATAAGCCAAGACCAATTTCGTTTATATCTCTGACTAAGAAATCAATAAAATGAAAATCGAACAAACTATCGAGTATCTATACCCCTAAAATATAAACAAAAACACAAGTTCAACAATGCACATGATTTAGAATTTATACACATACACACATCTTGGCAAAAAAATTTAGGTTATCGCGCAAAAATTCTTCAAAAGAGTAATTTGATGAATACCTACAAAAATCCCCCAAAACGCCAATCTAATTTAGATGTGAAATTAAAGATATTTATCAGTGACTCGTAATGAAGATTTCAACTTCCGAGAAAATTATGATGCGAACATTATAACACCCAATTATTCACAATATTCCAAGAAAATCAATAACTTGGGAAGTTAAACAGATCTGTGTAAAATGGATATTTTAACATCAGATATTGAACTTCATGAAAATATATTAAAAAAACTGTAAATTTGAAGTGGATTATAGATATAAATAACTGTATCTACACGATTATGAAAAGATACCTTCAAATTTGCAGAAGATGAAAAGAATCGGACGAACACCGCAAATCGTCGGTGAAAGCAGTTTGTTGGAGACTCCGCATTGTTGTTGCACTATAAAGTACAACTAATAAATTTGGATCAACTTGATTTGTTAAACGGGTTCGGATCGATTATATTTGGGCTTCATATCAACAACAAAGCCCAAGAAAAGACAAATTCAGCCGCAAATGTTAGATTTAAGTCCGCCCTATATTTCTCAAAATTTATTTTTTTTTAAAACCAATTTTTAACCATTCATTTTTCCATAAAATAATTTTTACACATTAAATCCAAGATTTTTCTCTGTTTGTAAGTATACATTCTATAAAAAATTACTAATCCAAAACAAATTTACCCGAAAATGAGATTGAAACAGGAGCTAAATAAAAACTAGATTTTGAATAAATTTTGATAAGGAGTTACTATTTCCATTCATCATTCTTATACGTCTATCATTTAAAAAAAAAATTCTAAATTAAAATTTTTGTCTCATGTAAATTTATTTAAATATCAAAAATAAAATCTATCACTCTAAATTCATTCACAAACAACCATGCCTGGAGTGATATCATCTCTTTCTAACCCCATGAAAAACATATTTGTCATGCTTTTGAAAGAACATAACTTTTGTTTATTCTCTCTTTTCCCATGCCCTTAGAAAGTAACAATGGATGACTTCCATTACTAAATGGAAGAACTTTTCAAACTAGTT